CCTTCAGTGGTTCCAAAAACACAGCTGACCACCACCATGTCCAGAGCAATTAAGGACACCTATGAGTGAACTAAAAGATGCATTATCATGTATGATGTAACAACTAATGCAAACTAAGTCATTCTTGCTTATTTGGTAGCAACATTAACAAATACTCAAGAGAATCAAAAAGAAATCACCATAAACCAAATCACATTGAACTTGCTAATAACTAGGTGTGATATATTCAAGTCATTATCTTGGCAGTACACTCTACATGACCAACAAAATTGATACTTAAATCTTCTCTCCAGATGTAATCCATCTTTTATTGGTGAAATTTATGGTATCTTTCACAGTTCACAAACAAAATTTCATGCGCTTATGGTGACACTTCGATGAAGTCCTTAGATTCCAATTAAAATTGGATAACAGGAGTTAGAGATTGAAACCTAGTAACAGGATCCAGATGAAGCCACAGACCATAACAAAATAGTTCAGGGTATTATGGAAACTGCTTTGAACCTATAGTTGGGTAACACACTCCTATTTGTTTCTTTCTTATACATGATCATTAATTGCAATCTTGCTAGCGATCACCACATTGTTAATATCTGGAGTTCTGTGGATAATTGCTTTATCAGCAGAAATGGAAGAGCTGTTTTTACAACCAGAAACAGAATTAATGTTTATTGGAGGTGAGCGAAATCAGCAGCTGAGCAAAGGAAAAAGAATTCAGAGGAAAATGAAACCATTGATTAGCAACGTAATCCAAAGACCCTTGCTCATCCAGCAGGAGAAAGGGGGTACCCTCCATTATGACTATCAAACTTTTGCTTTACAATGAGAAATAAACTGCTTGCAATGTAAGATGATAAGATTCACAACGTCATGCAGTACATCAAAGCAATGTGGGGAGGCTGCTACGTAGCCCAATACCAGCATCAAAACTAGAATTAACCACATTACGTTTCCAAGCATTCTTAAAAACTTTGGAGAAATAAAGTAATGTCTTGTCTATTGGTGTTCAACCTCTTGCTACTGTGATTTCACACCGTACAAATTACTACTTTTGGCATTTAAGTGGTTTGTAAGTATTCACCAAGCAGTTAAAGGTTTGCTTCAGTTCATTAATGACTAGATAATTTTTGCCAAAAGAAAACAAAAATTTCAACCCCACTTCATTTCCTCAAGAGTCACAATGTTATCATTCACCTATGTCTCAGATAAAAAAGGGAATTTTGATTCTACAAATTTTATTTTACTTTTTTGGGGGGAAAAAAAAAATCAAAGATTGAAACTTTACTGCAATAATCAATCACAAAGTGGCATCAGGTATCCAGTACGTCCAAAGAAACAGATCATACACTTTGTGGTTAAAAGATCTAAAGCTAATTTAGAATCTAGAATACTGGCTGCAGTAAATGGTATCTTGACAAAAACCATTCACAAGCTAACAACACCTGAAAAGACATTTAAAATTTGAGAACAATAAAACATTCTCTTCAGCTCAGTATGCATATTAAACTAAATACTCTTCTTTAATTCTTTAGAGTAAAAAAACTGCTGAAATTATTGTTTAACTTTACAAAGCCGAGCCCGCTATTTGAATGTAAATCAATTTTTAAAAAAATGACGAGTTTGTATTTCACTTATTAAAACTATACTTCATATCAATTTCCTGCTTTTTACAACCAAGTGATTGTTACTATAGTAAGACTGGCGGTGTTAAAATTCATTTTACCTCAGATTTTTCTTTAAACAATCTAATTTAAAAAAATAACAATGCTCTCCCTTCACTTGAACACAGGTATTAATTACTGCAAAATTAAATATTCATTACCGGTAAACAAATGAGACTATGAATTACATGAGACGATGGATAAACATCAAATTAAAATGATTTTTCTTCCTTTCCAAAATCCAAATCCCAATCCTATATATCATATTGTGATGTCACAGTAAAGATAATGTTTTCATAACACAACACTCTTAAATCATCAAAAGGATTAAGACTGCAAAGTAAAATTTCTAGTTTGAAATGTTCTCCTTTCGGTTTTATTTTTCTTATACAACTGCACTGTGGTTAACATGTTGCCTTTCAATAATTCTCAACTTTGCAAGCATGCAGACAGAAAGGCAGGGATGACCTAATTAGCCCTCAAGGCCTATCTTATTAAAGAAATACATTACACATTAGGTTGGCAAAGGGCTCTTGTAGCACATCAGCAGTGTCCCTACCTCCAGCCCAGGAAGACTGGGTTTAAGTCCAACCTGCTCCAGAAGTATGTAATAACATATCTGAACAGGCTGATTAGAAAATATCCACATAGAGTTACCAACTCTGATTGTATTCCTGGCAATTTCATTTGCCTCCAGCTACCACTTCCAGTAAATAGTTTTTCCTCTTCAAATGTTTTTTATCACTAATAAACAAAATAATTGAATCTTTTAGGCATTTTTAATGCTTCCAGACTTTCACTTTGGTTTTGTTTACATCAACCAGCAGATTAGTATTTAAATTTAGCAAACTGCAAATAACAACAATGTTTATTTAGTACCATTTACAATCTTATTGGATCCTTATCCATGTTAAAGCTAATGAACTACTTGCGATGTAGGAAACCCTTTACACTACTCAAACTTTGGGAAATTACAGAATATACTACTGAATTATTCAACTGAAGATAATAATGTTCACAGTTTTACAGGGTTAATGGTACAAATAAAGGCAAGTTTAGATTTTTGTAGAACAAGTGCACTGAAAAGTCAATTGAACAGTCTGTGAAGCAAAACAAAATGTCAAAAACATTGGGACTTTACAATATTTCAACTTCAACTTTAAAAAATTGTTTTAAATTGCTATTATTTTGTCTCTCCCCAACTATCTAGCACTGAAGCAACCTTGACTAGGTGCTCTTACACAGCAGCTTATTCACTAATACTGTAATTCTGACTCTGACTTTAAAAGTAAGTTATTTTAAACAATATCATTTAGAGGGCTGTATATATGTATCAGAACAGGTAGATACCAATCCAGCCGTTAATCCTTGTCTCTCTTTGGCAGAGCACGTGAAACAAGCTTTGAACACACAATACATTCCTCTTATTAAAAGTAAAATTCTAGTAACTGGAAAGACAGAACATTAGGTTTTCAGGCTGACCAGACATAAATGCATTAAAATTCTAAATTTGCAGAATAGGTTTCAATTTGAAATTGGCATGGTTGCACTGTACTCACTAATTTAAATCCCACAAGTAGTGTTTATTTTAATGCAGAACTATGAAATGAGTGGTAATTAAGAGGCAAAATGGAAGTGGTGCGCAAGATAGCTGACAAAAAACAGTATAAGTATTTATTTTTAAAAAGTACATTGCCATTATATCAGAATATACTAAAGTGAAGCAATACATTGGCAGGATACATGACTGTACCAACTGCATGGAGTAAAGTAAGCCTATTTTTCCAGTAGTGAGCAAAACTGATGACCCAAACATAGCTGGAACATTAGGGGAAGAATTAAATAAAAGGCTGCAGGGGGTGGAGACATACTTGAATGTTATACTATTAAAATCCAAACTGATTATTGCTGGACATATCAGATCCCAGGCTGAAATTTGGCTTGATTGATTTTTTAAATTTGAAAGGGGTGTCATTTACTGAAACAAACATGCAATGTTATAAATCTGGTTTTAACCATAAAACAGAAGCATATGATGCAAAAGACAAAATAGAATAAAGCAAGCTATTTACAAATAACAAAGCTAAATATTTTCAAACATAGTAAAATACAGTCCTACTTATCCCAACATCAATACTTTATAGTACTAAGACACCAGAGACAATTTGCTACTCTACCATATCTACAGGTTTAACGTTAACTGTTTCTTTAATTTGCAGCCTTCAGAATTTGGCAGCCTTTTCCTGGAGTATTCACACAACCAAACTTAGGATTTTCTTAGCTTTGAAATAATTCCTGCATTGCTCTAAACAAACACTCAAGTCTGGACCTTTCAAACTAACCTCCTTACACTAAGGTAACCTACTTCCTAACTTTTGAGTTAACTGTTTTCTCTATGAGAACTGTTGCATACATCCAACTTCAAGTCAGGAGATTTGCAAACTGAATCCCAAGCTTTTCAAACTGTGTGCATTCTCCCAGTATATGAAAGAAAACCCAATTACTAATCCTTCTAGCTGAAAGCAGCCTAATGTACTCTGTCAGCTGCTAAAATTCTCTCAATGCAACGAAATGCTCATTTGCACTCCAGGAACTCTCTCACATACTGATTTTTTTTAAAATCACAGTTCCAGGCAGCCCGAAACCCTCCTGCCACTTGTTTCAAAATCCAAACTCTAAAATAAGTAATATGAATGTACATGTGAAAAAGACTTACATCACAATATTTTGAAACAAACAACCCTTCATAGGCACAATTTTTTATGTATCTTGAAATAGCTGCAGCTTTTAAACTATACTCAGGTGATGTATCTCACTACAGCTGATGTTACGAATAAGAAAATAAACATTTGACTAAGAAAATTATTTTTCCCCTTTCTAAATAACTGGAAATACTATGATGTTCCTCTTCACAAAGTGCTGTAACAAATTCGGTCTTTCAAATCACTATCAATGCATGACCTCTAAAATGCAGTATCCTTCCTCATTCTTGTAAAGCAACTAAAATATTAGACCTTCTGCTTCTGGTTTCAAAATCAGTTTACTTAAAATTCAGCTTCAAAATCTGGGAAAACTGAAGTTACATTCAGCTAGGATTACCCACATAACAGTCTTAAAATTCACAGAATTCTGAACTGTACTTCCTCCTTTCAAACAAAACCATTTTCCAAATTCTTAAATTTACAATATAAAAATGTACACAATTCATGATGTTTTTAGTAATAATCTTGACGCATCTTAAAAGAGACAGTACTTTGAAACCATTTATAATATTTAGTGCTAGGAACTGAGAGAAACATCCATGATGGGATGGTACAGTAGTAAAGTACATTAGTTTACCTGATTGTCTCAGCTGACTTATGCAGAATTTTTCTTCTTTTTTTTCCTCAATGCACCTTTACCACACTTTAACACTGAAAGGCAGAAAGAAATAACTCAGATATATAACGAACTGATAGAGAACAACTTAAATGGAGAAGAAGATTAAAAAATATAATGAATAAACAATAGTCACAAAATCACTAGGCAGAAAATTGATCAAATGGAGAGAAAACATAAAAGGAGTCAGTTACTGGTGGAAGACAACATAAATTCACCGAAGTTAAAAGGCAGGGAAAATGTGTTCCTGATTTTTTCCCCAAAAATGTATTTTGTGCACAGAGAGAAATGATCCCTCAAGAAAAACAAAATATGCATGGCACGCTGTTTTTCATAAATAATTGTTGATACTATTTGAAGCATAATGTTATCTTTAAGGCATTATTTAGTCCAACCTAATACAGTACCAGATTTAACTTGATCTGGGCCAATATTTTCTCAGATTCTCAAAAACAAAATGAGTTTTCACCTGATATTCTAGGAATTAAAAATTCTTGATGCCAAACACAGCATTGACTTTGGAACAATCCATTTACAGTGTTATGAGTAGCTAACATGTAGAGTTGTATGGCATTTTCTGTATCACTACTAGAAACTAAAGCATCAGTAAGTGAGTAATATTGCGATTTTGTTGAGAACTGAAACAAATCCTAGCAGCATTGTTTTGTGTCAAAATCATCTATTATAACCACAAGTGACAGGGTTGGTTCCACAGTGCAATACTGAACTGGTATTGCAATACCCAAAATTAAAATATCTACTGACTGCATCATGGGGAAGACATAGGGTTACCAGAGTTCTCCACCATTTTAGTATTGTTTTGAATACACATACTGATTTGGGAAAATCTATGTTCAACAAATTAAATATAAAAACATTGAAGATCAACCAATAAACAGCATGCATCATGTCTCTCCAGTTAAGAACTATTTATCACACTGTCAGCAAACAGCCCACCTTTGTCATAAAAGACATGTCCAGATTTACTCTAGTTTATTTCCTTTATGTAAAACTTTTCAATGATAAGCCACATTGATTGTGATTAAATCTGGTTAACGTTTCATTCAAATTAGATGCAGCTAATCAAAAACATGGAAATGCAAAAAAATTCCACATGCTGAATCAGAATTGCATAATTAAGTAGAATGGTCTACTGTTAAGTTTGGATTTAAAACATGGCACAACGCAGTTTCCATAAATAATACTTTGTTAAAGGGTTACAAGCCAGCATACAATATTTGCAAAGATTAATTGCTGCTACATTGTACTTATTGCGTGCAAATGTAAAGTAAATGCACTATTCTGTGCAAAATGCTAGTTGAGCACTAACCCTTCAACAGAAACTGATAAATACGTTTACCATGCGTCCAGAACTCTTCCCTTTAACACAGCCATCCCACTTCCGGTTAGCGGCCGTGAAGAACAACAACTCAGTTAATAAGTGCTACCTCCTACATTTTGTGTTTTTTTTTGGGGGGGGGGGAGCGCGGTGGAGAAAGGCGAGTCAGGTGTTAACAATCTATTTACCTCGGAACAGGCTGCTCTTCTAAACGACTTAATACAGAAGTCCAATAGCCTTGTATGCTTTCAATACATGATCCATTTGGAAATCAGTAATTGCCACATCCCTGTGTCACACTGACTGTGGATCAGACTCAGCAGCCTTGGAGACAAAAATCCACAGGCTTTCAACTGTCACTGTGCCTTTTGTCTCTTGGTGTGAGGCCGGGAAAACACAGCACATCAGACAAGCAGGAAAGTCAACATTTCGGGCCGAAACCCCCTCTTGTCAAAATGCTTCATCTTATGTCCACCCGTTAAATTACTTGGTAACTCAAGACTTGCTGCAAGTTTCAGCTTGGCATTTTGTTGACGGGGTTTCTAGGCCTGCTACAAATAAGAAGGAATACAAGACATACTGTACCTGCAGCAATAAAAGTTTCCAGACTGACAACCCCCAACTTTCTGACACCACGACCTACGGCTGGGACATTCTTAATTCCGTCAACGCCTCGGACACGGCGATGTTTGATCCACTTTTTACTTCAAATACAATGTCTAAAAAAAAACCTGTCGATTCGATGATTTTTCTTGACGCACTTCGGCCGGACAAGATTTTTTTTAAAAAGTGATTCCCTCCCCCCCCTTAAGGCGCTCGACAACCGATCGTGCTGACCAGGATTGACAGCCTGTTCGACGAATCGACCGACGGTCTGCTCCCCGGGACATCCCGCCTCCCGGTTGGTTTCGACCAATCGGAGCGAGGAAGGGGGCGGCAAGCTCAGTTGAGGTGTGCCACGCCCCCAGCGCGGCTGTGCCGCCCGCTGCCTCCCTCCCTCTGGATCCACGCGGCGCGCCTGTAGAATCGCGTGACGCCGGAAGGGCTGATCGGTGGGAGGACAGAGCGCTCCGTGGAACAGCCGGCGCTGCGAAATCATCTGAGTTCCTGGCAGCGATGACGTCTTCACTTTTGAGAGCCAGTGCCAGACCCAAATTGATGGGAGTTTTGCTGTCAATCAAATGACTAAACCTTTTATTTCCCCCTCCACGCTTAAAAAAATGGAAAGCAGGCAATTGCTTGTGGTTTAATGCAATATTTTGCATATTTCTCATCACTTTGAAAAACTGCATTCTGATTGCTGAAATTATATGGGGCTTTTGAAACTAAAACTAACCAGTATTGTCTCAATTTCCTTTGCATGGATAGAATTATTACACTGCTAAGTTAGGACCCAGGATGGGAAATTTTAAAAAAAAATTGCTGTAAAAGCTCTGCAGGTCTGGCAGCATCTGTGGAGAGAAATCAGTTAACATTCGGGTTCGGTGATCCTTGCTCACGATGTGAAAATTGCTGATGATCCTTTATAAGCAAAGTCTTTTTTGTGATACGCAGCAGTTGGAATAAAATCTGCAAACAGGTCTATACCTGTCTTTGTACCCATGCATTTCCACTAAGGCAATTGAAATTTCATGCAAAGTGAAATACTGCAAATGCAGGCAATCAGAAATTATCAGAGAAATGTGCAGGAAATGCTCAGCAGGCTAGCCAACATTTGTTGGAAAGGCAAGTAGAATTCGCGTTTGTCATCAACGACCTTTCGTGAAGTTGAAACTTTTTTGCATCACCCCGCCCCCACCATTTCATTCTCATATCGGAACGGCGAAGACACATACCATTCGTATTTATTGCAATTTCATGATTTGCTCAATCCAAGCTGAATTTAGAAGTGCATCCTTCTGTTCAACACCTTATCATCCAGTGCTCAAGAATATTAAATACATGTCTATTTTTGCAATGCTAGAAGGCCATTTTACCGGGACTGTAGTTTATTACGTTCGAATGCAAAATAACAGGTTTATATAACATTTGTTATTATGTGTTATTTAAATCTCCTGCAGCAGCCAATGAGGCAATATTTGCATTGAATTCTTAATATCGTCTGTTCCAGTAAATTAACCCACCCAAAATTCCCCGCAGGCAGGAATATTTCATCACAAATGTAGCTTATAGTACAAATAAAAACAGGATATATTGTCAGTACACAGCAGGTCTGTCAACATCTGAAAGAGATTAAATAAATCAACAGACCTCTGTCAGACTCCTCCTGACAATTGCCATGTTTTCCAAACTTCCAGGATTTGAATAGAAAATTAAAATCAACTTTAGATTATGAGGCCAGGCAGCATCAGAGGAGCAGGGAAGTTGACTTTTCAGGTCAGAACCCTTCTTCAGAAGCAGGGAGGGGGAAGGGAGCTGGGAAATAAATTGAGTGGAGGGGTGAGGCTGGGGAAGGTAGGTGGGATGGTGATAGGCACCCCCAACAAAAATAAAGACAGAATCTCCCTTGTCCTCACATATCACCCCACCAACCTCCAGAGTATCATTCTCCATCATTTCCACCACCTACAAACTAACCCCACAACCAAAGATATATTTCCCTTCCCACCCCTATCTACCTTTCGTACGGACCACTCTCCCAGCGACTCTCTCGTCCATTCCACACTCCCCACTAGCCCCACCACCCACAGCACTTTTCCCTGCAACTGCAGGAAGTACTATATCTGCCCCTACATCTCCCCCCTCACCTCCATTCCAGGCCCAAAACAAACCTTTCAGATCAGACAGGGGTTCACCTGCACATCCTTCAACTTGGTCTACTGCATACGCTGCTCCTGATGTGGCCTCCTCTACATCAGTGAGACCAAGCATAGGCTCAGAGACCGTTTCGTAGAGCATCTGCATTTTGTACGTGACAAATGACAATACCTTCCGGTTGGCAACCATTTTAATTCCCCCTCCCACTTCCTTGGGGACATGTCAATCCTGGGTCTCCTCCAGTGTCACAATGACACCACCTGCAAACTGGAAGAGCAACACCGCATATTCTGCCTCAGGAGCCTACAGCCAAATGGTCTAAACATGGAATTCACCATTTTTAAAATCTCCCCACCCCCGGCCTCATCCCAAGTCCAGATCTCCCTCTTATCCCTGCCTCTTTGACCTGACACAACCTGTCCATCTTCTCTCCCACCTATCCGTCTCTCCTACCTCACTGACCAATCCCCACCACTCCCTACTCACCTATCACTATCCTACCTACCTTCCCCAGCCCCACCCCTCCTCTATCTATTTATTTCCCAGCTTCCTTCCCCCTCCTCATTTCTGCAGAAGGGTCCCGACTGGAAATGTCAACATTCCTGCTCCTCTGATGCTGCCTGGCCTGCTGTGTTCCTCCAGGTCCACACTGTTGTCTCTGACTCCAGCATCTGCGGTTCTTGCTATCTCTGATATTATGATTTGTTTCCTTTAGCCTTATATGGCTCGTTGTCATATTTTCTTTTGGCAATTCTAATGTTTAATCTTGGGACGTTTTTAGTATTCTTTAGGTGCAGCATAGATGCAATTTGTTTTTAGTGCTGCTGTGTTTCCTAGTAAATAGAGCTGGCTATGATCCTTGAGTTTCTTGGAATTCCAGATCCAGTTGCATCATTGGGGTACACACTGGGGCTAATGCTTCTCCAGAAGAATTTAGTGGCTGAATGCATACAGACACTTCTGACTCAATGTACAATCAATACTTACGTTTTGGCTTAGTTGGTTCATCACCGGAGACATTAACAGTATGATATAAAACGGTTCAGAGTTTAGAATAAACAATCACTATTACAGAAGTTAACTGTTTAGCTGTAGTGAGCTCGTCAAATATTGTCTGCCTACTGGCAGTTGGCAGGCTTCTGAATACATTTTTAAACACTTACTGGTACAGTTACTTATAGAAGCATTTTTTTCTTCTCTCCTTTCCTGACAGAACTGACTGATATTGACTGGAATATGGTCACAAAGCGCCAAGCTTATGATTCTTTATGCCTACGTTGCATATCTCATGTTGCAGTCTGGTATGACAGATTGGCTTGCCAGGTAATTTCAGTGAGTAGCTCAGACACAACCACATTATTGTGGGTCTGGTACCATACACAGGCCAGATTATATAAGTGAAGACAGACAAACCATATAGGTTTTTCAATCAACCCACGTGGACATGTTATAACTCACCTCCAGAACAGGTAGTACTAGAACTAAGATCTTCTAGTCCAGAGGTATGGGCACTACCACTGTGTCATAAGACCCTCAGATGGGATTTTTATGAAAATCTGTGATAGCTTCATACCACAGCAACTGAGACAAACTTCCAATTTCAGATTTATTAACCATTTGAATTTTAATGTCAGTACATGTCATGTGGAAAATTTGAACCCACATTCCCAGATCAACTCGGGCCTCTGAATTATTGCCTACGTTCTGTGAAGCTCAAACTTACAATCATAAAAACGTGTAAGTAGAGATACGGATAACTGTTACAATTTTACTAAAGGGAAAACTAAGTCTGGTTTTGGCACTGATATTTCCCATTAAAAACAGGCTCGGTTGCAAATCTTTAGAAATAGACACTGATGAAGGTTTTGATCGTTTATAGACATGTATGGACAAAAATTATAAAAGAAAAAATATCTGTTAAATGTATATGAGGCATTCATAGCATTTGTTTTTATAAAATCAGTTGATTTACAGTATACAAAATCCAGCCATTATTGTATTCCATTAACCAAGACCTATCTCCACTGATCAAAATATTAAACAGGTGCTATTGGTATCAAGAGAAAGAAGTTTAAAGGAGAAAATGCTAGTTTCTTTAAAATTTCATTGGTATCCATTTTCTCATTGATTAAAAATGCAAGTAAAGAATGAATACACTAAACATTTGAAGGTGATCAGAGGTAAATGTAACATGTGTAAAAAGTATAGGAGGACATCATCATAACCCACAGTGAATCTCATTTCAGCAATAGACATTTCAAAATTTAAAATTAGACTTTGATGTATTGGATTTAAAAAAAAATTTTGCACTTCATAGATATGGTGACGAAGTTTAGCCAAGTCTACATTAACATATGGTGAAAAGAAAAGAGTAATACTGAGCAAGGTAATGGAAAAATAGATACAGTCCAGACTAGGGAAACTGGCTAAATCTCCAACTGACAATTTGTAAGTGGTGAGTTTATGGATATGTGTGAAAATGTGAACATTGTGATAATGAACACTGCAACAATAAGTCTCTTTACAAAAACAAAGTTGCTGGAAAATCTCAGCAGGTCTGGCAGCATCTGTGAAGGAGAAAACAGAGTTAACGTTTCGGGTCCGGTGACCCTTCCTCAGAACTGATAGTGGCTGGGAAAATGTCAGTTTATATGCAGAAAATAGGGAGGTGGGTGGGGTTGGGAGTAAACGACAGGGTAGAGCCCGAAGAGAGAGAAAGACAGTTGGACAGACAAAGGAGTTGCTAACGATCAGGCTGGGAGGGTGAGTAATTGTTAATGGGGACTGTTAGTGACTAACAACAGAGGGCGTGTAGTGGCAGGCTATGTGGTAACAGGGCCTGGTGTGTGGGGAGGGGGGCTGGGACATGGGAGAGTTTAGGCCCTAAAATTATTGAACTCAATGTTGAGTCCGGAGGGCTGTAGGGTCCCCAAACGGAAAATGGGATGTTGTTCCTCCAGCTTGCGTTGGCCTTCACTGGAACACTGTAGCAAGCCAGAGACACAGATGTTGGCCAGGGAACAGGATGGTGCATTGAAGTGGCAGGCAACAGGTAGTTCAGGGTCTTTTTTGCAAGCAGAAC